AAGCCTATACTTATTAACTACCCCATGGTTTAACCAATGAACCTAATCCTCTGGGTTTACATGCCCTACCCAACCCCACAGACTGAGTCTGTGCAACACACAGGGCCACTGGCTAGCTTGGAGTTCAACGTGTCTTTGCTCTCCCAGGTTTCAAACTGGAGTTTTCTGATCCCACCCGTGACTAAACCTGGAAACTCTTGAACGCAGAACTGGGAGCCTTCTGCAGAATTTAGAGCCTTCTGCTCTAGCAAAGCGAGGGGCCAGATGGAGCCTTAAACCTGGACCTTCCAGCAGGGAAAAACTCAGCCAAGCTACAAAGAAGTTGCATCTCCTAAGCTCAGAGCTTTTCCTAATCAGCTTTGAAGTCCACAGGCTGAGAATGGCAACTTGTATTTTTCTTCTGAAAAACCCAGTTCCGGAAAAAAAACAGCCTATTCTGTAGCAGGTACCCATGTAAGAGAATCGCTCTTTGCAAAGTATGACCAGGAAGTGTTTGAAACCAGCAAACGGCTGAAACCTGCCTTTACGCCTCTCCCAACAACTGAACCTCCGAACAGCATTTGACCTGCTGCTCTTTATCTGCCAGTCACTGCAAGACGATGCACATCAGAGAGACCCATAATTCAGCCAGGCGCAAGGCATTGTTCGGTGTCCCTAAGTCTCTTTTCAATCAAGTGTCCAGCTTTCAAGAATGTGAAAGTAGAAGAGACTGAAACAAGACGCGCTTGCACCAGGTTGGACGAATCCGTGGCCTTCCTTGAGCAGACCAGGGATGAGTGATCACGACCGTCCTAATCTGAGCCTCTGGGCGTTCTTGGAACAGCGCCTGGAGAAACAGATCGGGGCTCTGGCGCCTGCTTTGACCAGGACTTCCAGAAGCGCGGGAAAGAGTTCCACCTCGCTGCGCTACTGAATGATCCACCCAAACAAGAAGTCCAAACTGCCCCCGAGCTTTCAACCATGTGACGCGGCTTTGGTGAGCGTCACCCGCAAGGCTTTCCAACATCCACACTGCCTTCCCCGCTTCGTTTGGCACTTCCAGGATGTCTTGCGCCAACCTCGGTGCCCCTTGCCCGTCTCCCGCTTCCTCGCGTGAAGGAGAGCCTCGGGAGCCGCCCGCGGTGAGTCAGGCCAGAGCCGAATGGGAATTTTTCACAGGCCTTTCCCGAAACAGATGCTGTCCGGGCTGCCAAAATAAGCAGGAACTGCTGTTTGGCAGCCCAGCGGCCTGTTAGAGAGCAAAGGGCGGAGAAAACGTTGGGGCTGTGACACAACAGTTTGTTTCTTCCCTCCCGGAAAGTGGAGAAGTTGGGGCATTATTTGTTGGTGGAACAGAAGGCCACCGGACTTCCTAGCCAAGCACTCACTCCGGCGGGCAGGGAGCCACGGGCTTCGGGGTGCTGCGCAGCATTTATCTGACCCTCCCACCCCCTTCCTTCTCGATAACAAATGCTACGGGGAAACAGATGTGGACATCTCCCGCTGATATTTGTGCGATGACAGACAGGCTCTGCAATCCTTCATGCGGGGGCTGGGGATCCTCTAGCACCACCTGTTCCCTGCCCTAGCAGAGAACACACACGCGCACGCGCGCACACACACACACAGAGCCCTCTGTGAACTCATGACATTAACCAGGGAGGGAAAGAAACAGCAGTGAGTCAAGGATCTACCCCAACCAGCTTCCTCCCTGCCTGGAAAATAAACCGCTGGCCAGCCAAGGTTTGGGGCAGCCCATGCCCATGCCTGTGCCCACTGCTTGTTGCATGCTGTGGGGCCACCACCTCCTTTAGCAAGCCCCCAGGCAACGTGAGGGTTTCAATGATTTTAAAATCACTGGATTTGGTTCTTCTCAACCGGGGAAGCTCCTGTTTGCTCAGAGGGAATGGCTTACGCAGAGTTAGACCAGCAAGCCCACAAAACACAGACCGAAGACACCAGATTGGGGGCTTCCCCAGGCCTGGTATGTGCACTGCACTAAGCCATGATTTAATTGCCCATGGTTTGTTGAAGGAAGAACAGTGGGCTGGGTTTGCACAAGAGGCTAAAGCACAAGCCGTGGTTTACAAACCAGGCAGAGGTTCCCAAAGCAGAACAGGGGGAAGCCATTAACACGGGCAGGGCAGCGTCAGGGCTCACCTTCTCAGCAACCTGGGCCATTCGCCAACATCGCAGAAGCAGCAGCGTCCTGCGGATTCCCTGTCCCCCGGCTCGTCACATTTATCTCTCTTCCTTCTGGCCACCCCAGGACAGCTTCTTAGCTGCTGCTGCTTCAGCAAATCAAAACTGAAACACTAGAGGGGAGCAGGGGCCTGTCAGGGGCAGAAGGAGCAAATTCCGGTGCAACCAGGATGCTAAGATGGCTTGACCAGCACTGAAGACCTCCAGGAAGAAGGCAGAGGAAAAACACCTTGTCCCAGATCAGTGGCTGATCAGCAGCTCATCTGGGGCAGGATGTCTTAGGACTGACGTCACTTCCTTCTCCAAATCTCAGTGAAGGGGACCAACCATTCTCCACACCTTTAATTGACAATGCAGACGTTTGCATGCAAAAGCTACGTTCTGCTCTGGCGGAGATACGGCCCCTTCTCAAATGCCCATGGCTTCAAATACCCATTGCAGGGAAACAGTGGGACCACCTCCTGCTTCCACCAAGAGCATCTCCTGGCCCTGAGCAAAACCAAGATTGGACTTAGATGGGCTTGGCCTGAACCAGCAGTGCTGGTCTTCCTTTCTTCTGGTCTACAGCTCACAGATCTCATCACCGGCCACCAAAGTGGCGTGGTTTTAGTAAACAGCCCCCTAAAGGTGATTCATGGAAGGAGGGAGAAGAAGAGGACAACCAGCAGCAAGGCAGATGGACTCAGTTACAGCAGGGGTGAGTGCACCTTTAGAAGACCTGAAGGACAAGGTTGGAGACAGATCATTCTGGAGAAGTCTATCTTTGTGGTCACCAAGAGCTGACACTGCCTTAACAGCACATAATCAATCAAAGTTTCTGATAGGCTCAAAGCCCCTAACTTTCAAACCACCTGCCCTGAACCAATAGGACCACTTTAAGGTCCCTGACTTCCAAATGAAATCTTCACCGCAGAAGAGAAACTCCAAAAAGCCTCTTCTTCCTCACCGTTCCACTCAACGGTACCATCAGATGAGCCCAGCTCCTGTCCAAGTTATTCCTGTCACAGTCTTCCATTATGGCCCAACATGGCCACTGGTATCGTGAAGCTTCCCAGTTCACAGGCATGTAGAATTCTGAAGGTATTTTAAGGCCCAGAGCTCCAGGTTGGAGAAGCTCTCATTCAAAGGATCCCTGGGTTCCGGTTTCTTTCCACTCCCCAGCAGAACCAGAATCCCCCTTCAATCAAGAAACGGGTTTCCATTGGTCAGGGAAACTTCCCAATGCCTTTGAAGTTCATGGGCCAAGAGGGAGCGGCCTGTCTGCAATACCCCGGCCACCTCGTGAGCAGCCTGAAAGCCTGGCTCTCTACACCCTTGGGTGTCAGGGGCACCACCACCCCGTTTTTCAATGGTGAAAGCAATACACCCTGCACCCTTCAGGAACACTGAAACTGGAAAGCAACAGTGCGCTCTTCCATGGCTACCAAATACCTTAAAGTCTAGACCACTGCAGTGATGGGATGAGCAGCGGAGCAATGCAAAGCGATGCCACACTTCGGGCTTGGTTTCTTTTTATTCACCATGTTGGGCACATTTGGAAAGGCTGACATAAAAGCACACAGAACAATCATTAGAAATGACTGCAGAATGGTAGGTGAACTCTCCCAAATTCCCGTTCCTTTCAACTTTGTAGGCTGCATATACAGGGAGTCCTCGTTTAGTGACTGCCTTCTACAGCGACAGTTCGCAGTTATGGCGGTGATGAAAAAGTAACTTTACAACCAATCCTCGCACTGATGACCTTCGCAGGTCAGTAAGGCAAAGGAAAGCTTGAAGGAAGATTGGGAGCAGAGTCGCAGTTTCACTTAGCGACTGCTTGGATTACTGACCAAGTTGCCAGTCCCAATTGTGGTTGCTAAACAAGGACTTCCTGTACTTTAATATGCTAAAACATAGTAACGGCCATATAAAGGAGAAAAGAAAATGAAACATCTCAGGTGGGTTAGGTGTTCCATCATGGCCCACCTGCAATAGTTCCTAACCTCTCCCACTGAATGTGACAGCACAGCCTAACCCTGCACTAAATTTATTTTATTATCAGTAATACCAACAAAGCTTAAACATCTACAGGTCAGTCCCTACGATAGGTGCCATTCCTCAATCCACCAGGGACAGAGTCTTGCTGATACAGAACAATTTTTCATAATGATGGAAGCTGCACACCTCTCTGGGGGGAGCGTCGCAAAGAGTGGAGGCTACCGCAGAGAAGACAGCCCCGCACATGTTTTTTTCTTGTTAAAGCATCCTCTGTGGCCCGCAAAGCAACTCTCGCTAGACCACCTGTGGCCGCTGCTCAGAGCAATCACGCAAAGGGGCCCTACAAACCGTGTTTCTTGTTTGCTTGCTTAAGAGGGCAACAAAGAACGAAACCGGTCAGATCAACCAGGGCTTGCGTTTGGTGCTCCCTTGCTTTACAGCTGAGCAGAACCGTTTTCTCGCAAAGAACAGAGGGCAACTTTTATGGATTTCCTCTTAAGGCCTTTGCTGTCAAGAATCCAAACCACAAGGAAGTGCTCTGCTCTCCAGCTACTAGGCAGAAAGGAAGTCAGTCCTGTGTGTCTCCATCGCTTCGCTGGCTGGGAACGATGACGAACGAGACTCTGCTGGGGGGTTGCTCTGGATCTGGAAGGGACACCTGTCTTTCGCAGGAACCAAAGGCGGACTGGACTGGCAAAACGTGACACGCTCGCTTCTCTGCTCCCTCCACAAATGATGCCCTGCCCTGAGCTGGACAGCAATGGTGTTTTCCAAGGGGGGCCCAAAGGATGAGTACGCAAGACTAGAACAGCACCCACATTTAGAAACAAACAAGTCTTGCGAACGTGGTGCGCTTATGTGCTTCCTTTAGTACAGATAACACTCTGCCGCTCGCCTACACACCTGGAGAGAAATCCATTGGGTGAACCTCAAAGCCAGAGATTCGTCTTGGCTAAAAAGCCCCTAGCATGGCACCCGCTGGAGAGCCAGGGCCTTTCCAACAGCAGTGCCAGGCAACTGCGCCACCCCCCGCAGAAGGCCAACCAGAAGCTTACCTTTTGGAGAGAGAGCGGTGCGGTTGCAGGCAGAGCAAAAAGATCCCTGGCCACAGCCGATTTGCCTGCGAGCACCAGCACGGCACATTCGGGGCAAGCGCCAATGGTCAGCCGCTTGCCGTCGTCCACCAGCAAACTGCCCGGCCCCCGGAAGGAACCCAAGAAGACGGGCAGCCTGGCCACTTGCACTGCTTTTAATCCAAGGCGCCGTTTCTTCTCTTGTCGGCAGAAGAAGCAAGCGAAGGTGTCCACCTTGTACTGCCGAGACCAGGCGCTGCTCGGATGCTGGGCGCCGCCTCGTTCATGGTGCAGCCACTGGCCCAAGAGGTCGTGGTAGCACAGCACGCAGGTGGCCACAGTCCCCGTGGCATCGGCCGGCCTGGCCCGCGGGGCCGGCGGATACACCACGAGGAAGGGGAAAAAGGGGTCCTTTTCGCCAAAGCGGCCCGGAGGAGGGTTGACGCTGACTTGGAACTCCTTGTTGGGGCCCAGCTGGGCACCGCAGATGTAGCAGCCAGAGGCCAGGCCTGGCTGGGCCGAGCTCGGGGGCCGGGGAGGGCCCTCGGCCTCCCCAGCTGTGGCGAAGACCTGGTGGTACCTGCCCAGGAAGCTCTGCACGGAGGTGATGCACTGCTCATTGCGGCAGGCACAGTAGGTGGCCCACACGTCCTGCAGCACCGCGTAGCAGCGGGGGCAGCTGCGCACCTGGCAGCGCTTGTTGGGGCCCCTGGCGCGCGGGGGGCAGGGCAGCAGGCTGAGGAAGGGGAAGTGCATGGCTGCCCTGGAGCTGCCGTTGGGGGCCCTGGCCGAGACGGCGCGCCCGTCCCGGGTGCAGTCTTCGCCGCAGAGGTAG